TATCTTATGCACAGAGTCTGAACTCAAAAGCGATTTATCAGTTGCATTGGTCCCCTCGTTAGTATTTTTTATAATATAAGATCAATTTCGTTGTATCATCTATATTTCAAGAACTTAAAGCTTGTCGTCAAAATAAATTAAAATAATTCCACCTGCAAAAAAAAACACGTCTTCATTCTATTAACTTGTGCTCGAATAGAATCTTTTGAGGCATGTTCACTATGAATCAAATCAACGCAATCATAGGTTTTTCCTTTTCACCAATCAGAAAGATAGATGCCGCTCTATATTCGCGCCTCTTGATTAAATCGGCTCTCGTATTGACTTATCAATTACTACCAACAACCCCATAAACACATTGCCCTCTTATTATCGCAACGCTACAGTTGACCGAAAACCTAATGCCATTCCAAAAAAAACTAATAATATCTCTCCAAATCGAAAGATCCTCTCTCTCGTTCATTCTTCTCCACAGCAAGAACGTGGTTAAATGTTTCCTCTATACATGTGTTGGTATTCATTTTCATTTTTCCACAATTCGTGACTTCAAATAGTAATCCCGTGATTTCAATATTATTATTATTTTTTCTATAGAGAAAATAAGATTCACTACCATCCTGATGACAGAAAATTGATTTTCATATTTCTTTCACTTCCTTTCGATAAAATATGATCCTAATTTTCAAGCAACTAAAAAGTAGCTTTCTACATTATCCTTTTTCTATTTTCAGACAGAACTAACTTAAAGATCATTATATCAACCACAACTGATCCAAAAAATATTTTCTCTTCTTCAGATACAATTAAATTCAATACGAAAAGGTAAGCAAAAATTAACCTAATATTTTTTTTTATTTCTTTAGATAAAAGACGATTGATATTTTTTAGTAAGTGAAAACTAGTTTTGTATATTATTATTTTTCTTTCTTTAGATCGACTGAACTTGAATATCATTAGATCAACAACAATTCATTGAAAAAAAAATTTCCTTCTTCAGATACAATTAAATTCAATATGAAAAGGTAAGCAAAATTTAACCTGATATGTTTTTTACTTCTCTAGATAAAAGGCGATTGATACTTTTTAAGTAAGTGAAAATTAGTTTTGTACATTATTAATTTTTTTTCTTTAGATAGAACGAACTTGAATATCATAAGATCAAGAACAATTGATAAAAAAAAAATTTCCATCTTCAGATACAATTAAATTCAATATGAAGAGGTAAGCAAAAATTAACCTAACATTTTTTTATTTCTTTAGATATAAGACGTTTCAACCTTTTTAAGTAAGTGAGAACTAACTTTGTACATTATTATTTTTCTTTCTTTAGATAGAACGAACATGAACATCATTAGATGAAGAACAATTGATTGAAAAAACAGTTTTCCTTCTACACATATAATTAACTTCAATATGAAAAGGTAAGCAAAAATTAACCTGACATTTTTTTTTATTTCTTTAGATAAAAGGCGATTGATACATTTAAAGTAAGTGAAAACTAGTTTTGTATATTATTATTTTTCTTCCTTTAGATCGAATGAACTTGAATAACATTAGATGAAAAATAATTCATTCAAAAAAAGTTTTCTGTTCTTCAGATACAATTAACTTTAATATGAAAAGGTAAGCAAAAATTAACCTAGTATTTCTTTTATTTCTTTAGATATAAGACGATTGAACCTTTTCTAAGTAAGTAAAAACCAGTTTTGTACATTATTATTTTTCTTTCTTTAGATCAAATGAACTTGAATATCATTAGATCAACCACAACCAATTCAAAAAACATTTTTCCTTCTTCGGATACAATTAAATTCAATATGAAAAGGTAAGCAAAAATTAACCTAGTATTTTGTTTTATTTCTCTAGATGAAAGGCGATTGATATTTTTTAAGTAAGTGAAAACTAGTTTTGCATATTATTATTTTTCTTTCTTTAGATCAAATAAACTTGAATATCATTAGAGCAACAACAATTCATTGAAAAAAAAATTTCCTTCTTCAGATACAATTAAATTCAATATGAAAAGGTAAGCAAAACTTAACCTAATATTTTTTTATTTCTTTAGATATAAGACGATCGAACCTTTTCTAAGTAAGTAAAAACTAGTTTTTTACATTATTATTTTTCTTTCTTTAGATCGACTGAACTTGAATATCATTAGATCAACCACAACCAATTCAAAAAACATTTTTCCTTCTTCAGATACAATTAAATTCAATACGAAAAGGTAAGCAAAAATTAATCTAATATTTTGTTTTATTTCTTTAGATAAAAAGCGATTGATACATTTTAAGTAAGTGAAAACTAGTTTTGTATATTATTATTTTTCTTTTTTTAGATCGAATGAACTTGAATATCATTAGATCAACAACAATTCATTAAAAAAAAATTTCCTTCTTCAGATACAATTAGATTCAATATGAAAAGGTAAGCAAAAATTAACCTAATATTTTGTTTTATTTCTTTAGATAAAAGACGATTGAATCTTTTCTAAGTAAGTAAAAACTAGTTTTGTATATTATTATTTTTCCTTCTTTAGATCGAATGAACTTGAATATCATTATATGAAGAACAATTGATTCAAAAAAATTTCCTTCTTCACATACAATTAACTTGAATGTGAAAAAGTAAGCAAAAATTAATCCTAATATTTTTTTAAAATTCTTTTGCAGCATTGGAAATTAACTTTGAACGAAAAATTCAGTTTTTCTTTGAAAACATTTTTATTGAACGTTACTATCAAGAGAAACAACGAATTCAAAATTGGATATGCAATTTTATATGAATTTTGGTCCAGCTCGATGGCATAGTTGTGGAAAGTAAACAGTAAGCTTTATCGATTTGAATATTTTTCTTTTTATGTTTAGGTCCGTCGTAACATCAAATGGAAAAGGATCGGGAACAACAGATTTTGGAGCGTACTGCTTCAGTGTGTCTCAGTTTCTGCTTCCAGACGAGCAATTGACTTGGAGTTGTGTCTGTGTCAAGACTGAGAAACTGTACATGTTCTCTAAAACGAGAAGTCTATTCAAAATGACTTCAACGAAGCAGAACGGAAAAGTTGAAATTGTCAGGTGTAGCGTTGTTCATGCTATACTTGGTTATCTTAACTTTTCTGTTCTGGTGCGTCGAAGTCACTTTGAATAGACTTCTCGTTTTCAGAGAACATGTACAGTTTCTAAGTCTTAATACAAACACAACTCCAAGTCAATTGCTCGTCTGGAAGCAGAAACTGAGGCACGCTGAAACAGGACGCCTCATAATCTGTCTCGATTGTGAGCCATTTTGGTTCACTGTCTCGAAACTCCTTGCAAGGGTTTATGAACTTTTTCTAAACTCTTGCACTGGTTTATGTGTGTTTCCTAAACCCTTTTATGGGTTTATGAATGTGCCCTAAACCCTTGGCTATACCCCAATATGGGTTTATGTGTGTTTCCTAAACCCTTTTATGGGTTTATGAATGTGTTCTAAACCCTTGGCTATACCCCAATATGGGTTTATGTGTGTTTCCTAAACCCGTATATGGGTTTATGAGTGCGTCATAAACCCTTCGCTAAACCCCAACATGGGTTTATGAGCGTTTCCTAAATCCTTTACTGAACCCCATCCATACCTACTGACCGTCATAAATCGTTTTTGAGGGTTTATGCAAGGGTTTATTGATTTTCTAAACCCCTTCATATACCCTTAGTAAGGGTATATTAAAGGGTTTATGATTTTCCTAAACCCTTAAAAGGGTTGTTGAAAGTGCAACGTATAATAAACCCTTAAAGGGTTTATGAACTTCCTAAACCCTTTATTAAACCCTTAAAAAGGGTTTAGGAAAATTTTACATACGGTAAAAAGGGTTTATTATACGTTGCACTTTCATCAACCCTTTTTGGGTTTATTATTCTACGAATTTTTTTTACAGTGCACACCCACACCCACACCCTCAAGGAAAATTTAAACAAAGTAGTATATTTTAAGCTGATTTTGTTCTTTTCTCTCTATGTACAAATGATGTTGCTAACTTAGGTCCTGATCTTGCTATACAACATTGTCGTATTTTAATAGAACGTATACGACAATTATTTCCTCGCTTACAACCAATTGGATGGCTTGCCCTTCCACCAAGATGGAAACCGTCTAAATTATTTAATGATTTAGAGATTAATGAGAATAATTGTAAATTCAATCAACATCTACAAATATTATCAAAAGAAATGAATTTCGAAATTATTGATGCTGGTCTTCAACAACATCATATGCATCGAGATGGATTACATCC